CTGGGTTAGGGAGGGTGCTGGGTTAGGGAGGGTGCTGGGTTAGGGTGGATGCTGGGTTAGGGAGGATGCTGGGTTAGGGAGGATGCTGGATTGGGGGGGGGGGGATGCTGGGTTAGGGAGGGTGCTGGGTTAGGGAGGATGCTGGGTTAGGGAGGATGCTGGATTGGGGGGGGGGGGATGCTGGGTTAGGGAGGGTGCTGGGTTAGGGAGGATGCTGGGTTAGGGGGGATGCTGGATTTGGGGGGGGGGGGATGCTGGGTTAGGGAGGGTGCTGGGTTAGGGAGGGTGCTGGGTTAGGGAGGGTGCTGGGTTAGGGAGGGTGCTGGGTTAGGGAGGATGCTGGATTGGGGGGGGGGGGGGGGGTGCTGGGTTAGGGAGGGTGCTGGGTTAGGGAGGATGCTGGGTTAGGGAGGATGCTGGGTTAGGGAGGATGCTGGATTGGGGGGGGGGGGGATGCTGGGTTAGGGAGGGTGCTGGGTTAGGGAGGATGTTGGATTGGGGGGGGGGGGGGCGGGGTGCTGGGTTAGGGAGGGTGCTGGGTTAGGGGGGGGGGGGGCTAGGTTAGGGAGGGTGCTGGGTTAGGGCAGAGGGTGCTGGGTTAGGGGGGGGGGGGGGCTGGGTTAGGGAAGGGATGCTGGGTTGGGGGGGGGGGGGGGTGTGCTGGGTTGGGGGGGGAGCAGTGTCTGCTCCAGGGCCGGGTCAGCGGCCCAGTTGGATGGTACTTGGACCCGTTTGGAAAAAGAACACCGGGTCACCTGTGACCCTGTTGGGAATACACACCAGGGAGTCCTATTATGTACCCGGTTGGTTCAAAATCCTAGAGCAAACACTGGGGAGGTGCTGGGTTAGAGGGGGAGGGTACTGAGTTAGAGGGGGAGGGTACTGAGTTAGAGGGGGAGGGTACTGAGTTAGAGGGGCAGGGTACTGAGTTAGGGGGAGAGAGGTGCTGGGTTAGGGGGAGGGGAAGGGATGCTGGGTTGGGGGGGGGGGGGGAGGTGCTGGGTGGGAGGGGTCTTGGATTAGGGAAGGCTTTGGATTACCAAATGGAATAATCAAGTTGTAGTTTGCATGAAACAAGGGACGAACGACCATACATTACATAAAGTCAACTTCGCTTATAACGACACTCAGCGGGGCATCAGAAAAGTGTCCTTATTCGCGAAGTGTCGTTATACCCGAAGTCTCATTATATGTATTACAGCTGGATGGGACTTTGCTCTGGGCATGGAAATTCTGTCGTTATTCGCGAATTGTCGTGATATCTGCAGTCGTTATAAGCCAAGTTGACTGTACATGTACCTCTAACCCGGTCTTGCAGTCGTGCTGCAGAATTGTCTTGACAAGTGCAAGCCACCCTTACCCAGACGTGCAATCATGCAGGGAAGTGAAATTCACGCATACACCACAAATATGGACCCCTCCCCACCCCAGACCCCTACCCCCATATTCACCACCCACGCCTACAAGAACACGCTCTGCTTACCTTGCCGATAAATCTCTTCACCCTCCAGTAGGCATACACAATGTATACGTACGTCAGCACCTCCCAGAACTTGCCGAGAAAGAGCGAGGCGATGATCTTGTCCTTCCCGGTGAATGTGTCGCCATGGACACCGCGTATGAAGCACCAGCCGGCCGACACACTGATGCTCTTGTCGGCGCCGAGCGTGCCGGTCGCCACGGCAACGACAGCAGCCACTATGGGCACGCACCACCCGCCCACTACGCCCAGCGTCCACTTGGGCCGATTTATGGTCGTCTCCATCTGCTCGATGCTCTTGCGCAGGTAGTAGGCAAAGTAGCATGTCCAGAAGAACGAGCTCAGCGATGACGTAGTCGTTAGCGCACTCTGTACCACGCACATGGTAGGATGGTAAGCTTTGTCGATCTCGGCGTCGGTCAAGTTCACGCTCGTGCCGTTGATTCCCACGCCGCTGGGGAACTCGACGACGTCCAAACGCATGGCCTGGCCCAGCAAGTTGCCCAGCGCGGTGATAAAATCCGCAACGGCTATGTGACACAGGATTTTACGCGACACGGTGCGCAAGTCCTTCCAGCGTAGCGTGCTGCCCAGTAGGAATAGCGAACCTAGCATGCTCAGCACTGCCACGCTGATACCAATACCTTGCGACGCGTTGGTGAACGCATCGTCCGCAGCCACCGTCCGGTTGCATCCTGTACCCGACGTCGAGCCGTTGCTCGCAGCATCACCATCGAAATAGAACTGGTCGTAATACGTGTCGTCCCCGCCCGCCCGCCAATCATCCGGATACTGAGCCATGTCCATGCTTGCCAAGGCCTTATGGACACGCTAAAACCATCCAGTACTAATGCTGGAATCCCAGCAAACAAGACCACCAATGGCCCGCTCGTACTCGGTCACAATGCCGAATGAAGTCCGGCACGCCACGGAGCAATAACGCGCACTTGTCTTTACTTCAACAAAACCGTACTTGTTGCAGGCAACACGTCAACACGCTTCGCGGTTGAGCAAGGCCTAAGGACGAAGGGACCCGCAAATATTTACCTGTAAAGTTATTCCGAATATTCACTTGGTGGAGTCTGGGCGGACAATTCACAATCCACGAAAATAGTGACTGGACGGCCTTGTAGCCTTGTCAAGTTGAACAAGACCTTCCCTTTACTACTGGGCTTCGGTCGAAACGCTAGCTACATGTAGCTAGCTCAGTGCCGGCTGGGCTGAAGTGAAGAGTAACAAATTCTGAATGACTAGGCTAGGAGACTCTCGACTGAATGAGTTGACGATCCCTGCTGCTTGTCACTAACTGGCACAAACCCGCAAGTGCACAGTTACTGAGTTAGGAGATGAGTTGATAACTGATTTATTTGCTCGGACTAGACTGAAAGAGAATTTGTACGATAAGTGAACCATGTGAACGTGGCAGTGCGACATCGTACGGAGCACGCGCACTTCATTATGTTGGGAGAGCAGTGTGCAGCAGTTGGGAAAAAAGCGAGCTCTGGCATGGCTGTGTAAACCTCAGAGGGTCTGAGGCTACAAACTGTGCATGTGGCAGAACTTGCCGTACAGAGTTCACAGTACAATATTTACCGTATAGACCAGGGAGTCGTATAGACCTACGACTCCCTGGTATAGACTAGAGAAAGCTACAGATTGCTGCAGTGCCGAAACATGAACTATAAACATGTAAAAATAGCAAAATTAAACTTTCTCGCTTCGCGACACTGCTCGTCTGTCTTGATTTACCGGTACTATCACTACAGCTAGTAGTAGATCTACGAGTACGAGCTACAGGCAACGCCAGGCTCGCACCTCCAGGACCAGGGAGTCTGGACGCTGGGACGGGCTGTTGGGATGTTTGATACGGTCTCACGTTCGCTATTACCACTTCTGTTTTAGAAGGTCTACACTTGATAAGTATGTGTTTGTTGATGCTCTCACTTACCGGCAAAATAAGAGCATCGAAATTCGCAGCAACAGGCCGTGAGGGCCAATGCCATGGCAAAATGGTTCGACTAGTCGACTTTCGACTTCTCACATTACATGATTTTTGTGTAGATCTGCACAACTGGATACTGCACTCTCCGCTATATATAGTTATACTAGCGCTGTGAATCCGATCACGGATTTTTTTGTAGATGAACAGGCCTGCATGTGCTATATATAAACAGCTCAGCGAAACGTCGTGAAGACTGACATCAGCAGGTGTGCCATCGCAAACCCATGTCTGTTTAGCGCATGCAAAACCAGCGCTAGTGCCATCCAGCACGTGAGCGTGTGTAACCATGAAATGAAGCGATGATCACATCATTGTTTTCCCTACTGACTCGCCAGAGAATGCGAAGTGGAGAGTGCCTATGCCGTCTATGGCAGGCCATGGGTCGGGAATGAATACACTTTCTTACAGATACTTGAACAGCAGCGAACACAGACAGCTGCTTTGTCATTTTTATTGTACTGTCTGCTAGTTGGCTCCATGACGCCAAGTCTAGCGCACTTGGTCGCCGGCCACGTGTCATGACCTGCCCCTGCACGTGCTAGGGCGCACCTCCCGGGCTCCCACTTTTGATATGATGGACGCCACGAGCTAGGCCCATTTCCCGGACTGGATATTATCAGATGGAGTATGACAACATTGGACAGCACCAATCCATGTAGTAACCATTTCTCCATGGGATTGATGAGGAATACCAGGTACTCTATCAACATCAGAAGACTCTCCTCATAGTCATAGTGTGCAGTGGCATACATGCATGTGGTCTGGAAATTCATACAAAGCCAATAGACATGCAGTGGCATTCTGCAAGCAGCAGACCCTTTGTCACTTGAGGCCGAACGGACCGCTTCAACCAAGCAGGGAAGGGTACTTCCCACTCAGGGTAACCGCTTCAGACTTCTAACTACAGTCTACAGTCAACGTCGCTCATACGACGTAACACCACTCGGTGGGGCATCAGAAAAGTGTCGTTATTCGCGAAATATCCTAATATGATTGTACCCGAAGTCTCATTATACATGTATGTATTACAGTTAGATGGGACTTTACTCTGGGCATGGAAATTCTGTCGTTATTCGCGAATTGTCGTTGCATCCGCAGTCGTTATTTGTGAAGTTGACTGTACTCTGCACACACACACTCACACCAGTCATGCATTGCAGAAATCGTTTGCTTGGGTCATGTTTCACAACCTGGCCGCTGGGTTTGGTGGATTGTTTTCCTCGTCCGGAGCAGTCAACATTTCCAAACTACACTGAAGCCGGCCGCTGCCTCGCTCAACCCGGCAAGGTCATTGAGCAGAGCTGTAATCATTGCGCAAGAATGGACCCGGATGGAGAGCCAAGGATAAATTTAAAGAAAAAGGACCAAGGAACAACAAGTTACACTAACACCACCAGTTACTAATCAATCAGCTCACGCGAAATCATAGCGGAACTTGTAGTTCCTTGGTCCTTTTTTCTTTTCTGTATTAATCATTGCACGCGGAAAAGAGCAGTCCTGCACCGAGCACAGCTATCATCCATCCAGACTCTATGACCACAAGGTCCGGCCGGATGTTGGACTCTTACTCTTATGCCCGGCCCACACCAGACTGATTTTTGGCCCATGCTCCGACACTAGCCCTTGGCGGATTATGCCGGCATAATATTTGGCATAATCTTGGGATTTCGTCAAAAAATTATGCTCCGGCATAATATACGGATTCCAACGTGTAAGGTCGGCATAATCTTTCAGTTTAGACAAAAATTATGCTTAGGGGCATAATACAGCTTTGTCAGAAAGCCTGCAGCTGGGTTTTTTTAAATACCCCAGTTATGACTCCTTGTCATAGTTCTTGGCGGATTATGCCGGCATAATATTTGGCATAATCTTGGGATTTCGTCAAAAAATTATGCTCCGGCATAATATACGGATTCCAACGTGTAACGTCGGCATAATCTTTCGGATTAGACAAAAAATATGCTTAGGGCATGGCCGTGTGTGTATGCGTGGTTTTTCAATCCTCTATGTACAGCGTGAATACATAGTGGAACCGAGCATAATTCAGCATATTTGTTGGCATAATTGTGGCATAATCAAAAGCATAATTTGACGATTGGCCGAGCATAGTCCGCCAATGGCTATCCGATACCGACTCTGACATGAAATCGGTCGACTGGGTAGGACCTAGATCGACCTATACCCACCGACACAAATTTGTCGGAAACGCGTTGCAACAACACTGTCCACACCAGGCACTCTTCGCACCGAATTTGAGGATTTTTTTCCTACGATTCCACAATCGGCTGAAAAATCGGCCTAGTGTAGTGGGGACCAGTTATTAGGGTAGACAGGGGAGCTGCAACAACCGAGAGTTGTATGTTTCCGACTTCCGGACGGTAAAGATGAAGTGAGAAAGCATTTAGTTTTCAAGTTTAATAATAGGGTTTGTCGCGCCTTAGTTTATACTTGTAGTTTATACAGGCGTCACAAAAAAGCAATGAAATGAACTATAATGAAATTCCGGGTTTCCGAATTTCGAGATGCAACATTCTTTTTAAAATTAATGATAGTGTTGGACTAGTTGGCCTAACTATGCAGACATATTTTATGCCAATTGGAATACTAATTGTGAAATGTCATGAGAATACATGAATGACTGAATGTACATATACTTTCAGTGCATGTATTATGAATATTGTTCATTTCTCAAATCCTAGCCATTACTATTGTAACGCTTGTGTTACCGCAGCATTGGTGTTGTCATGGGGATGACTGATGTTGTTGTCATGGTAATGATTGATGCTGCTATCAGGTGATGATCAAATGCTTTGATGTTGCCAAGGTAGAGAACTACTTGTCTAGCTGGAAATGGGTGGTGGCATTGTTTCCCAGGGCTTATCGGCAAGGCAACCGGTCATGGCCAGCCAATCTGAGCAGCAACATGGTGGACATGTGAATGTAGACGTAGACACACACACACACACACAAACACACACACACACACACGTGCATACATCACATCATATCACACAAGACGGAAGCACCGTAGACGTGTTCTCCAAGTGGAGAACAAAAGCCACCCAAGGAAAGCTTGAAACATAAGACTACGGTATTCTGATGCAGTATCGACATTCTCCCAACCCACGAGATGAGAAGGAAAAGACTCAAAGGAGGGAAGGAGGCTAGAAAGAATGAGGAGAGAGAGAGAGAGAGAGAGAGAGAGAGAGAGAGAGAGAGAGAGAGAGAGAGAGAGAGAGAGAGAGAGAGAGAAGAGGAGAGTGGGAGAGAGAGAGAGAGAGAGAGAGAGAGAGAGAGAGAGAGAGAGAGTGAGTGAAGGAGACAGACAGACAGATAGACAGGCAGGGCACACAGAAAAACGCACACACAGTGCCCCCCCCCCCCCCCCCGGTGGCACCAGATCATGACTGCTTACCAATGTAACAGTTGAGCTGTAGATAGCCGGACGTTGTACACAGAGCGTGTAAATCTGTAAAGCCGGTCAGGACATAACACAGCCAATAGGCTTGTTTTAGATGTACATACAAATGTGGCTTGCTCAACACTGTTCCTGTCCATTACTACTACCTTTCGTAAGCCATTTTCAATATAAATTGCACCACATTACGTGATTCGTGTTTCACCTATGGAGTCAGCACTCTAGTCAGGTCATATTTCTGCACTTTCGTTAGAATCAAGGTTTTCTCCCTGGACACTACTCAGCGCCTGTAACATCAAGAAACGGTTTCTCTACGTGTTCTGTAAGTTATTGGGCTCATCCAGCAGTGCACAACTACATCTGAAAGTTGTGACGCGCACTCTCAAAAGCGTGCAGTTCGGTGGCCTACTTACCGCTCAAACACCGCTCAATATTTCCCGAGTGTGGTAGATGTATACCGGTGGTAGCTGACATGTGCTCCAGTAGCTGTGAGAGGTGGTTGGAGGAGAGCATTCCTGGTGTGGCTTCCACCGTTTGGAACATCTTCACAGCCCTGCGGTTGCCATAGCATGATGGACATTTACATTCAGGTTCGGACACAAGCACATGCACACACAGGCACGTATGCACATACGCGTAGACACACGTGCACACAAACACACACATTTCAGGTCAGTGACTGTAAGCCAGTAATATGTTCCACAGACTGATAAGATAGCTGAGCCGGAGGGCAATTTGCACTGTGGATAAATGAGACATGGATCAGAGCACCACAGATAAAGTCATCTCCTTGTGAGAAGGCACCAATGCCTGTTTGGTTGAACGACTATAAATAAAAGCACAACAGCAGCAGCAGCACCACCACCAACAACAACAACAACAACAACTTTCTCTTATTGGTCTTACTTTCTCCACAGGCCATCGTGAGAATAAAAGATTTCAAACAACAACAACAACAACAACAACAGATCAATGCAAGCTAATATGAAAGAAGTGCAACGACACATCGTCAATCATTACGCTCTTCAGTACCTCTGACGACGGCGCACAGCATCGTCATCTAGTAAGAACAACCATCGGCGTGACGACTGAGAAGACCACCTGTAGTGGAGAGGAGAGACCATACATGATATCCAGGTTCACGGAACCACTACCAATAGTCCCAAAAATGGAAGAAACGTCTGAGCAATTTCGCCAAATACGGATGAAATGTGTACAAATTGTAGCACGTACCGGTATACGTGTAGAGGCATGACCTCTGACATCACATGGATAATCACCGTGGTAAGGTTCACATTATTGTTCTCTTGTCTACAGCATTCGACAGCAAACAGACTTTTCCACCAACCCAGCTGCTCCACAGGTAACCCAGCCTCCTATAAAGAATACCTGATCTAGGGGGAGGGACTCTTAGATTTCCTCCCTTTTTCATGGCCCAAAACAAGAAGAGGGGAGGGGGGCTACCCCCCCCCCCCCCCTTGGCTAGAACCCTGGTGTGTGTACTGTACATGCATGTATGTGAAATCTCACCAGAGAACCAAACGCCTGAAATCCACCGGCTCATTAGCCAGCAACATCTGTGCCGCTTGCATGTCCTCAGGTTCCATGAATAGACCAAGCTGCCAGGAGTAATGAAACAACAAACAGAAGAGAGCACGTGAATAGGAGGGCTACCATGAAATACCCATGTTTCTTCATACCAGCTGTCCACAGTAACTCGGAGCTTGTGTAACATGTTGCACATGTTCCGTTTGGCGTAGTAATATTTCCACTCTTGATTGTAGCTATGAATGTGACTCTACTTCATGACATGTATGCATACGTCATTTGTACACACTCACAGGCACACACGCATGCGTATCTTTTCGCTGGCTCGCTCTGTTATGATGCTGGTTTTTCCTTTTGCTTGGAGAGAATGTTTTGGACTTGAGAGTTGCAGTTTTGATCTCAACGTCTTGTCATGGTTGGAACTGGTGCCTGGCTGGGGGCTGGGGAGTTTATGCTCCTGTGAATGTAATTGTAACCTCAGGCCAAGGTTACACGTGGTGGCAGCGAATTCGAATTCCACGTCTTGTGAGAGCACGCGTACCAAAATTATTTGTGGAAGACTGATCGTGTAGAGATGGCTCAGCAAGGTGGCGCTCCTCCGCCCCCTCCACCACCACCACCGGGCCCAGCGCAACAACCAGCACGTCCACAACAGCAGATGCGGGTATGGGCCACGCCAGAGAAATTCTCTGGCGAGCGCAACGCCGACTGGACGTCATGGATTGGCCATTTTCGCCTCGTCGCGAATGCAAACAACTGGACACCGGCAGACCAAAGCAGGTACATTGGGTTGTACCTCACCGGCCACGCACTGTCTTACTTCCAAAGTTTGGAAGCCCATACGAGGACAGGCCCATTCGACCAGCTGCTGCAGGCGTTTGAACAGCGATTCGGCGACGCAAACTTCATCCCCACGTTCAGAGCAGAGCTGCAGTCACGCCGGCAAATTCGTGGCGAGTCCCTGTCGGATTTTGCGGAAGTCGTCCGCAGGCTCAGTAGACGGGCGTACCCCACGGTAGCTGGAGCAGTGCAGGATACCCTGGCGCGCGACACCTTTGTAGCCGGCCTTGACAGCAGGGACCTGCGCCTGCATGTTCGTGGCACGGACCCACCAACATTGGATGATGCACTCCGACGGGCTATGCATTTTCAGTGCATCCTGGAGGCAGACCAGCAGCAGCAGGCAGCTAGCCCAGTTATATGTGCGGTGCAATCTCAGCCCAGTGACCCTACACTCAACGCCCTGCTGTCGAGGATGGCAGCCCTGGAGGACAAGATCTCCAGGCTCACGCTGGAGAGGCCAACTAATCTGCATCGGAGTGGAGATGGTGACACCAAGCGGTGCTATGTGTGCGACAGCACAATGCATTTCGCACCTGACTGTCCGCACCAGAGATACACACCGGCTAACCGTGGTGGTCACCGGGGTCGTGGACGCGGTCGGGGAAACTGAGCGTCGCTGACAGCCAGGGTCCGCCGTCAGCAACCTCCCCAATGGACCCATGTACCGGTAAGCAGAGTGAACCGTGTTCGGTGTGTCATGAGGCTGTCTGCTTACCTACTGAGACAACTTGTCAGGCCTGCACAACTACTCCAGCCGAGTGTCCAGACAGCTCGATTGTCCTGCCTCTGTCGTGTCTTGCAACACAGTCCGACAGCACGGTGCAGATCCAAGGCACGGTCGAGGCTGTACCAGCCAACATGCTTGTGGACACCGGCAGTTGCGTAACGTTGTTGAGCACCAGCTTTGCTAAGTCTCTCTCTCATCACAATGTTCATTTATCTATCTCACCCGTTAATACTGTTCTTAAAGCGGTAAATAATTCTTCTGTCCCTGTGCTCGGGGAAGCTGTCGTATTGTTAGCAACTGGCAAGCTTGCTGTACGCCACAGAGTCATTGTTGCTGACATTATGCCCGATGTGCTAATCGGCATTGACTTCTTGCAATCTCATGGCTGCACAATTGATTTCGGTCGCAACATGCTCGATGCATGCGGTGTCGATGTACCCCTAGAGCCCACCCATAATGCTAATCCTGTAGTCTGCCGTGTTCATCTTGCTAATTCGGTTACTGTACCAGCGTATACACAAGTCATTGTTCAAGCTCAGCTGCGTACCGATGATAATCATTTACCTAGCTCTGCTGGTTTTGTTTCACCCTCAGAGAAGTTTATTTCCAAGTTTAGCACTGCTATGTCACGTGTGGTGGCTACTCCTGACTCTGCTGGCCGTGTTTGGATTCGCCTACAAAATTTTCTTCCTCATTCCACAACTGTCCCGAAGAATTATCAAATTGCTGAATTTGATTCTGATATTTACATTGACGATGATCTCAATGATTCGCCTACGCATGCTGCCTCTGTTGACGAGCATAGCTGTAGCGCAGTACAGGAAGAGAGCTGCTCACCTTCCGAGCCAGACGATCTATTTGACTTACGTCACCTCGATCCGCAAGCGCAGTCTGCTATAGCTACTGTGCTCAACGACAATGCCGATGTCATCTCGCAGGGACAATTCGACCTTGGGAAGACTGATGTAGTAACACACAACATCCAGACTACATCTGATCAGCCTAAGAGACAGCCACCCCGCCGAATTCCTCTCAGTCAACGAGTCGAGGTAAAGCAGCACGTTGATCAACTGCTTGATCATGAGATTATATCTCCATCCAGAAGCCCTTGGGCTGCTCCGATAGTTGTCGTACGCAAGCCTGACTCATCTATCCGGCTATGCATCGACTACCGGCAGTTGAACAGTATCACCGAGAAGGATGCCTTTCCCCTTCCTCGTGTGGATGATGCTATCGACGCTATGGCTGGTGCACGCTACTTCTCTACCTTAGATCTCGCAGCTGGCTATTGGCAGGTGGAGATAGATGAAGCTGCCAAAGCTAAGTCGGCGTTTGTGACACCGTTCGGATTATTCGAGTGGAACCGTATGCCGTTCGGCCTGTGTAACGCACCGGCAACTTTTCAACGCCTCATGAACCGGGTCCTTGGTGACCTAGTACCCAATATCTGTCTGGTCTACTTGGACGACATTATCGTGTTCTCATCAACGATTGAGGAACACATGAGTCGTCTGCAAACAATATTCAGTCGTCTTCGTCAAGCTGGCCTCAAGATCAAGCCCAAGAAGTGCTCACTGCTTCAGTCCTCAGTCACGTACCTGGGATTCTTATTCTCAGAGCAAGGTGTGGCACCGGATGCAAGCAAGTTCACGGCTGTTCAAGACTGGTCATCCCCAACATCACTGAAAGAGGTGCGTAGCTTTGTTGGTTTCGCATCGTACTATCGCCGCTTTGTGCCACATTTCTCAGAAATTGTAGAGCCCCTGAACCGTTTGTCCCAGAAGAATGCCACTTTCAACTGGACACATGAGTGTGAACAGGCATTTGCTGAACTGAAGTCCCGACTAGTCAAGTCACCTGTTCTAACATATCCTGATCCTGCAAAGCGCTTCATCCTGGACACTGATGCGTCAGATCTCGCCATGGGAGCTGTTCTCTCGCAAGTCAATAGTCACGGTGAGGAAGTAGTGATTGCCTATGCCAGCAAAGCATTAACGAGATCCCAACGTAACATGGGCAGTACACGCAAGGAGCTGCTTGCTGTTGTCACATTTACTGCACATTTCCGCCATTACCTACTTGGAAATCAGTTCACATTGCGAACTGATCACAAAGCGCTCATCTGGCTACATTCGTTCCGGGAAGTGGACGGTCTTCTAGCCCGGTGGATTGAGCGTTTGGCCGTCTTCGACTACGTCGTCACACATCGGCCCGGGAAGCAGCATGTCAATGCAGACGCCTTGTCAAGACTCCGCTACCACAGCCCGGCTACCGCAACCTCACCGACGCCAACGCCCGAGCAGAGAGTAGGTGAGCAGAATATTGTTGTCAATCACCTGTCTAGCGCTAGTCCTGATAGTAATCCTGTAACAGTCAATGCTGAAGTGTCGCCACCCAATTGGTGTGAGTCTTTCACTGTTGAAGAGTTGCGCAGAGCTCAATTAGAAGATGCAGATGTGAGTACAATGATCGGCTGGCAGGAGGCATTACTTGACAGGCCCCTGCGTAGTGATTCTGCCATGCACGGTGCGTCTATTGCATTGATACGATTATGGAGCCAGTGGAAGCGTCTAAGACTGGTTGATGGAGTGTTGTACCGGGTTTACCACCCCGAGAATAGCGACACACCGTACCTACAATTTGTTGTACCACAGTCTCTGCAATCCCGCATGCTTCAGTCTGTGCATGCTGATGTCTCTGGAAGCCACTTAGGTATTGAGCGAACACAAGACAAGCTTCGCAAGCGGTGTTATTGGCCCTTCATGTCGTCTGCAGTTAGTGAATTTTGCCAAGCATGTGATATTTGTGAGAGCCGCAAAGCACCGCTACCAAAGGCCAAAGCCCCGCTTGTCCAAGACCGCCCATCATTCCCGCTAGAGAAAGTTGCTATTGATATTATGGGCCCACTGCCTACTACGCCTAGCGGTAACAAGTATTTAGTCGTCATTTGTGACTATTTCACTAAGTGGCCAGAAGCGTTTCCTGTACCGAATATTACTGCTGAAACAGTAGCACATGTCCTTGTTGACGGCTTCTTCTGTCGTTATGGTATTCCATACCAGCTGCACTCTGACCGTGGTGCGCAATTTGAGTCGAGGTTATTCCAGCAGATCTGTCAGTTGTTGGATATCAGAAAGTCACGTACAACAGCATACCGGCCCCAGAGTGACGGCTTAGTCGAGAGGATGAATCGCACACTTGAGCAAATGCTGGCTGCTCACGTCGACGACCACCACACCAATTGGGACCGTCATCTGCAACGTTGTCTGCTGGCCTATCGGTCTAGTGTGCACTCCTCGACCAAGGAGACGCCAGCGATGCTCATGTTAGGTCATGAAATACACCTGCCTGTTGATGTGATGTTTCAGTCACCAGACTCTGAGCGCTCCCATGTGAACACGTATGTTATCAACTTACGGCGCAATCTACAACGAGCGTTCACGCATGCCCGTGATGCTGGAGCAACAGCTCAACGACGGCAGAAGGCCCACTATGACAAGCACGCTAAACAACCGAAACTCAACGTTGGTGACATGGTTCGGTTGCATTCTCCTGCCGTCAAACCAGGTACGACTTCCAAGTTCCATCGACCTTGGAAAGGCCCGTACACTGTGCTAGAACGTGTTGACGATGTAGTACTTCGGATAGCTGACAAATCCGGCACGACCCAGACTGTTCACGTTGACCGTCTGAAGGCTTGGACTGGCTCTGATCTGCCTGCAAGTGCCAATGAGCTCGTACCGAACTCGCCTCCGACTTCTATTGCCGACTACATGCCTGATGTTGAGTATAATATGCAACCAGTACCAATCCCGGCTCCAGTGCAGGCGCCACCTGCACCAGTAATTGCTGCTGCGCCGGTGCCGCCACCAGCCGCAGCACTGAATCATGCACCTGTGCCTGTTGTGCACCACTATGATCTGCGGAACCGTGCAAACATTCAGCCGCCAGCAAGGTTTGCTCAGTGAGTGTCTATGACTGTACAGTGTGATTATTGAGAAATTGTACATTCTTAGTTCAGAAATACACATATTTCACACAGTCCTACCTGTTGTTAGGTTAGTATGAATAATGTCGAGCATTTCACTTGCTGTTTCACAGTCCACTTACATAGCATTAGTAGTTTCTAAACTTTCCATTATACCTCACACCGATTAACTACACTTGTACCATACTTGCGCCACACTATTTCACTTTCCAGTATTTAATTTTCTCATGTAGAAAGCTATCACGGATATGCTCTAAGCTTTGTAACTTTCGGTCACTATCGTTCCCTCTGTAACGAGGGGGGAGGTGTAACATGTTGCACATGTTCCGTTTGGCGTAGTAATATTTCCACTCTTGATTGTAGCTATGAATGTGACTCTACTTCATGACATGTATGCATACGTCATTTGTACACACTCACAGGCACACACGCATGCGTATCTTTTCGCTGGCTCGCTCTGTTATGATGCTGGTTTTTCCTTTTGCTTGGAGAGAATGTTTTGGACTTGAGAGTTGCAGTTTTGATCTCAACGTCTTGTCATGGTTGGAACTGGTGCCTGGCTGGGGGCTGGGGAGTTTATGCTCCTGTGAATGTAATTGTAACCTCAGGCCAAGGTTACACTTGCCTTCAAAAGATACAGACTAGAGTAATGCTGAGAATCGATTCAGGTTAGTGAATCGTAGCGAGGTTCCAATGTTCAAGATTTCAGCGTCTTCATTCTTATTCTATGCTTGTACTTTCACAAAGTAAAGCCTGGTTTAAGTGACCACCCCACCGTGCAAGCAAAAGCGGCCGTTAAAGCCAGGTGGTCTTTAGAACCAGGTCCCACAGTGTCTGTGTAGAACTGTCGTTGCACGGAAAGACGGTCGTTACGAGCAGGTGGTCGCTAAACCCAGAGGTCGCTTACACCAGGTTTTAGTGTACAGGTGTGCTGTGCATGCAATGTTACATGACAAACACACCGGCACTTTTAAACCTTTGCTTCTAGCCTGGCACGTTTAGGACAGATGTTTGTTTCCATCGAGCGTTTATGTCAATAAATTTTGGTGACTTTCTGGCCTGGATGTTATTCGAAATTGCACCACCTATCATTAATGCTCTCTTTACGAAGGCTTTCCAATCTCCAGGACATTACTTACCTCAGTACAGAGATTGCTCCACGCTTGCAAGTGCTGGCCAGGCGAGGACTGCAGGAGAAAGAAAACAATTACTACATTTTCTCCAGCGGAGGACGGTGTAGACAGTACGTATACCATGGAGAACAGACCCAGATACAGCAACACATTGTTTAGCTTGTTGTGGGGGGGGGGGGCTCCTTAATTCCCTACTGTAGGGGAGGGGGGGGGGGGGTGATCTGATGTCAAATACACGAGGTACAGTGGTCCCTCTATAATCCGGCACCATTTGTGCCACGAAAATCTGCTGGATTAGGGAGGGTGCTGGATTAACAAATCTGATCTACTGCTGCAATGTGCATGAAGAGGACATTTGGCTACTGAAAATTGTGCCGGTTTATCGAGGGTGCTGGATTATAAAGTGCCGGATTAGAGAGGGACGACTGTACTTCGTAGCGTTGTTTTTTTTGTGGGGAGGGGGGGGGACAAAACCAAACCAATGGCATTGGGTGTGTTACACACATCCTCTAGAATCGAGAATCGAGATTGAAGGTGGTCTTGCCAACACAGGCCATAGGCATGCTACTGACAACTACTTCCCATACCCATGCATAGTTGCGTCCCTATTGCACAACCAAAGCATGGTCAGGGTTGCTTTACTGAAAATGGCTTGGTCAAAGCCTTGACCAGTCGGGCAGATGGCTACTGCATGGCACAAGAAGTCAAACAAAAGAACTATTGTACTGCACCCCACCCCCCCCCCCCCCCCTGTTCTGCATAGAATCAGATCAAAGCCATGACGTGATGCTGGACACACAGGCTAACTAACCTGGGAGTATTTCAAGCTGATATCTCTTGCCAGGCAAGAGATGGATGACTGACTTGGTGTTGACCTGTGGCATCAATATATTGTAGCCATACGATAGGCAGGAAGGCAGGCAGCCAGGCAGCCAGGCAGGCAAGGCAAGCAGGCAGGCAGCCAGCCAGGCAGCCAGGCAGATGGATAAACAAGCAGATTGACAGTTAGAAAGTGTGCCTCATCACATTGTATAGGTTTCCCTAGAGAATTCATTGTCACGATTAGAATATTGGTTCTTACACATAACAAGTTTGATCACGGTGTGCAGCTGCCTGCAGGATATCAGCTTTGCAAACATGCCACCAATCAGCGCTACTTCTATTTTGCTACTTCTGTTTGCCATCGTATTCCCAGACATCCCTCTGCCCAGTTTATGTAGCCGCCCATTCTCATTTCTTCTCCAACAAGATGGTGGTGATGGTTGTTCTAGTTCGCAAATCCAAATGGAAGTTTCTTCCTGATAACAAGGCAAAGGAGAGGTTCGGTTAGAGAGAGAGAGAGAAGAAGTGTATGTGAAATGTATATGCGTGCACATGTGTGGAAAGGGTAGAAAGCTGGGGGTTAAATGGCATGGATCCAGTGTGTGACATGCAGGGTCGTAGCACTGAGATTTCAGGTGATCCGGCCAAACGAGATACTTGAACGGAAAGTTAACATTATTTCAACTAGGGACTGCCTGCTTTTCAACCCAAGATCTGCATGTACCGGTGTGCATGGATTGGGTAGGTCAACCGTTTCGAAATATGGTCTGGCCATGGCCTGAGTGACCGGACCGGACCGGGTGCTACGCCTTGGCGTGGTACCGGCTACTGTTGCAGTACAAAGAACAGGCACATCAGCAGCAGTTACAAGAGCATCGAGAGAAGCATGAGTTCTCTGCATCGAGAGAAGCATGCATTCTCTGCATCGAGAGAAGTATGAGTTCTCTGCATCGAGAGAAGCATGCATTCTCTGCATCGAGAGAAGTATGAGTTCTCTGCATCGAGAGAAGCATGCATTCTCTGCATCGAGAGAAGTATGAGTTCTCTGCATCGAGAGAAGTATGAGTTCTCTGCCATTTCGCAACAGTTACAACAACTCAGAAGCTGCGACGAACTCGGCCACTCAAAATATTTCGAAACCCAGCCAAAAGCGTAGTGTGGAGAGGTGGACAGTTTCAAATTAGTTACAAAAGCATTGAGAGAATTGAGCATACGTTATCTGTCATCCCCCCCCCCCCCCCGCCCCGACTCACCCCACTGTCTGTGTGATGCGACTGCGGCTGGATACCTCTTGATCGTAGCGACGGCGCCACTTCTGCACCTCGGCCGCAGGAACGGCCGGTTGCTTAGACCAGGCATCTTGTGCACTCTGTCCAGCCTTGGATGTTATCTAGACAGGGCATCAACACATGGAGAATGTGATCACTCTGGCAATTCCTCTCACGATCATTATCAATATCATGATCACTATCACACGTACACGTATACAATGGCAAGCATGTATGAGAGCAGTCACTACAACCGCAACATGTGCACGTCTACGAGGTTGAGTAGCCCAAACAAACGACAGCACAAACCGTATTCCCTGAATACAAGTCGCACCTTTTTACACTAAATTTCTCGGGCAAAGAAGCGGGTGCAACTTACAATCGTGTGTGACATACTGTGTCTTTGTGCTCCGCCCATACAACACAGCAAGCAACAACAGATTTTCATGGCCAGTGGCTGTGCATGCATTAAAGCAATACGGCTCAAATCTGAAAAAAGGGGGCGTGACTTATAACCGTGTGCGACTCATCATCGGGGGAAATACGGTTGTAAGTGTACAACGCATGCATTACCTCCGTAAACTTGGCGTTGAGTTTCAGCAGCAGCGTGTCGACGAGCGCCACCTCGCGTATCTGCACCTTCAGCTGTCGTGCGTCTGTCACTGCATTCAACGTGGCGGCACTGCTGGGTGTGGTGGCCGGTGACGGGCGTACGGCGTTCTTGGTCATAGTCAGGTGACCAAGTGTAGAGTCTGTGCTCCAGGTGATGTGGGAGAAGAAGAACGAGCCGAGAAACACCTGTATGCAAGCAAGCAGGGGGCACACAGCAGTAGTGACTACACCCAATTTCCAAACTTGCTTCTATTGCTTCGAATTTTGGTCTCATTCGATTCTCCCATGCGTAGTACATAGGCAATCTGCAAGTATTATTCAAACCGGCCCGGCCTTTCTTGAGTTGTAGTGATTAGAAGTGCGCCAAGTCGGATTCTCCCATTGGAAGTATAGAAACTTGTTTCCAAAAATAAGTGTCTGGGTACGAGGTAGTCAAGTCACAAACAGCACAAAGGGCACTGGGGTTGACTATAGAGGGGTTCTGCAAGTGGTTTCATGGCGTGAGTCAGCGGATTTTGTAATGCGCGCCAGGTGTACAGCGTGAATCAGCGGATTTTCTAATGGGTTCTGTGTATGCAGCGTGAGTCGCTAGTGCAAGTGCAACGCGGTGCCACAACTCCGCTAAAGCATCTCAACATAGTTAACTGATGATGTAATCATAATTAACTGATGATGTAATCATAGTTAACTGATGATGTAATCATAATTAGCTGATGATGTAATCATAATTAACTGATGATGTAATCGCATAAACAAAATAGGTATGGCTCGTCTGAAGGAGAATTGGGCACTGATTCCGATGAGCTATGTCTCGAGCCGATCAGAGAAGAGGAACCGTGTCAAATTTCATAAATAACACCTTCCATATTTGGAAATTGGGCTGGACGTGCGTACTGATTAGCTGTCACCATGCTGTGCATGCTCAGCAGTGTAATTGAATGGAAGAACACAATAGCTTTGGTGTTTTGCAGCTCTATTTCGTTCCCTAACGGTAACCAAATCTAGATCTAGGAATCCGTGGAGCAGGAAAGTGACACATGTCTTCCCGAAGGCTGTCCAGGCTGCAGTGGTGACGAAGAAGACATGATCATCATCCCGAGATCGATTGTAGCGAATTGGAAAACTCATGGTGAATTTGTTTCCACTCCAAGGCAATGTCGAGGTATGAATGGTGCTTATACTGCCTTCCTAAGTGAAGCGGAGATGGTCATGGCTTTGCATAGCTGTTGTTCTACGCCAACTTACCTACTCTTGCTGGTACCGTAGTGGTATATTGCAAATTTCGTGGACTAACGACTTTAATCACTAGTGGCTAGTGAGCAACACTAACAGGTGAGATTTTCCATGATTGCCCTGCCTGGTAAGAGGATCAGCGGTTGCATCCTGTATGTTGTTCAAGTCATGCTTTCCACTTCTTCATTAAGATTGAGGTCCAGCACCACTTACTCCTCTTTCTATCCCTCCCCCCCCCCCCCCCATAGCCAGCAACCTGAACAATTGCCGCCACACCAACTGTTCTGTTGTACTGGTAATGCTGGACTAGTAACGCTGGACTTCTAATCATTCTAGTCATACCATATCCTGGGCTCTCATCAGGTGAACGCCGTCCACGTTAATTGCAACATGAACTGGCTGCGTCATCTCTGCTGTCTTAGTCGCCTGTAAGCCAAACACACACACACACACACACACACACACACACACACAAACACTTGTACTTGCTCACTGCCAAAACTGGTCACGTGGGTCTCCCCGGGAGAGGGGAGAGAGACTCAAAAGGAATCTTGGAAAGATGACTCAATTGGCCATTGAACCACCCAGCGGCCGACACCCCCTCAAATCCCCAAACTAGGGTGGACTTGAAATGATCCCACTTATGGGCTCACCACACCTCAGTAAGTGGGTGAGGACAAGGTGCAGAAAAAGGATTGACGGCATCAGGGTATCCGTCCCGGGATCCAATTGCAGGTACCCCTGCCCCCAGTGAAGGTAATACTTGCTACTAGTGTGGGTGGCTAAATCAGAGTGGATCTGATATAAGCTTCACTAGCACCATTGATTACACAAGAGTTAATCTAGCCAGAAGCAGTCCATGGTTAACAGGTATGTATACTTCAAATAGAAAGTATATGAACCCTGAAACCAACAAAGGTGGTAGGTACAACAATACACCTTCAAGCAGCCGAACCCGTTGGCAACAGGCCCAACACTATCTGGCATAAGTGTACCCACCAACCGAACTAGCTGGCACACAAACACACACACACACATAAGAAAAGAGGAAAAACAGTATCCAACAAGCCAAGAGGATCAAGTAGAGTTCCCTGTAAAAAGGCGCTGACGCCTGTTGGGAATTCCCTAGTAAAAGAAGAATAAATAATAATAATAATAAGTAGAAACCAGTTCAGTGGGAGTGATCTTCTTGCGTGTTTTCTACAACACACACACCACAGTCGTATAGTCTACGCATGACAAGTCATTCACTTACAGCACATGCACTTGGAGTAAGCCATCTGTGTAGTGTGTGTATCAGGGTTCTAGCCAGGTCAAAATAGTAGGGGGGGTGGGCATGGGAAACAGTTACCCTATGTCCCATTTTTCCACTTTCCAATATTGTCTTGCCACGCCAAATGCAACGTATGGGGCGAATCCCTGACTTCACCCCAGACAAATGTGCCTTTATGAACCATCTATGCATGAAAAACACGAAAATGGGTAGGGGGCGGCAATTTTTCGCAGGGAGGGCGCGCAAACAGAGTAGGGGGCGCTGCACCCCCCCCCCCCCCATCCCCCTTTGGCTAGAACCCTGGTGTATGTATGCGTGTGATTTTGATGTAAATCTTACGTGTTCATGTATTTATTATGTTTGGGATCTTGTTTTCTCTAAGTGCAGGAATACTCACGCCTGTCAGAAGTTGTCCATTGAAGAATGTCGCCCCGTAGACCGGCCATCGACGACAATAGTTCAAATACAACAACTGCTCAGCCTGCAGAACACAACACAGTTAGAAACAGCGGGGTTTGAGCGGCACATGAGCAGAGCAGAAAGGGTGCAGACCCATACAGTGAGCAGGCGGATGGAGAGCTACATGGATGTTGATAACTCATGTTGCAAAACGTCCACCAGGGTCAGAGGGTGAAATGCTTTCTAACTCAAGTAAAATATGTACCATCGCGCGTGCGCGGGGGGGGGGGGGGTACACATGGGGCAACTCCACATTTTTTTGTTTACATCATGGCTGGCCAACTAACCGTATCATCCGGTAAGTTCCTGGCGGTGACCTGGCGATGTGTTTGCAAGATCATCTGCTCCAAGTGTGCCGTCTTCTTCTTGCTGGCTTGCGAGAGCAATTGGGGTGGGAAGAACTTGTGCATGTTGTTACTGGGAGGGCGATAAAAGGGACAAATTGGCAAACACATGCATTGAGACATACCTCCATGTTGTGTGGGCGGAAACATGAACAAAACGATGCAGGCACCCATGCATGCACGGAAATTACTACACCAACACGCGCGCACACGCACACACACACACACACACACGCACACACACACACACACACATTACACGTCATTCAACACAGTGTGTTGTTTTTAGCTGACAGCTGCACACACTCACTTGAGGAATCCTTGCCGATGCATTATGTCATTGTGATCACCATAGCTGATCTGCAAGTTCACATCACAATGCATACAAACACACAGATGAACAAACATACAGATGGACAGATGAACAGAAAAACACATGAGCAGACGAGCAGACAGATGGACAGACAGATAGACGGACAGAAAGATAGACAGACAGAAAGATAGACAGACAGAAAAATGAACAGACAAAGATGCATGGACGGATAACATACAGATAGAGAGGCAGGCGGGCAAACAGACAGACGGACAGACGGACGGACAGACAGATAGACAGACAAAAAGACGAACAGATAAAGATGCATGGACGGTTAACATACAGATAGAGAGGCGGGCGGGCAAACAGACAGACGGATGGACGGACAGACAAAAGGACAGACAGATGGGCGGAAAACCACCTAATTGCATGGGTGTGACAAGTGTAGAGAAATACTGCAATACTGTGCATGAGAGTCTTACATAGCTGCTGTATATAGCATACACCACCCAGTGTTGACTCCGAGACCCACGGTCGGACGAGCTGCCCAGGCCTCGCCACCACTGCCGTTTCCGTGCTGCCTTCTCGATACATACGTGTGTACAGTGTATATCATGTGCACATTCACATGTCTGAAGGTTTGTGGTTTTTCAATAATAAAAAATATTTAAAAAACCCAACATACACATAGTGCATAGATCTTACCTGAACAGCAATACCAGCTAGGTTGATGAGGTCTTGTTCATTAGCAATGTAGAGACCGCTGGTCACACGCTGGTTAGCTTCTTCATACAGTAGATTAGTGGCCACTGGGTCGACAATCTGAGAAATGCATACCGGTACGCGCGCACCATGTACACGCACAATCATACATACATACATGCACGCACACACACATACACACACACACACACACACACACACACACACACACACACACACACACACACATACACACGCAAGCATGTGCACAATCATACACACACACACACACACACACACACACACACACACACACACACACACACACACACACACACACACACACATACACACGCAAGCATGTGCACAATCATACACACACGTATACACACGCGTGGGCACACTATAATTATATCAGGAAATCTAACTGTGTCACCGCAGTCACTTATGAGGCATCAAACGCACTTGTAAAAACCGCTGAACAGTACAACTACAAGTATTTGTGGAATCATTGGAGTGCAGTAGCATGCCGCAATACCACATTGACTATTGCCACACACCATACCTCTTCTTCTTCATCTTTGGTACAGGACGGTTCTCTTTTCATGTGCACCGACGGCATGTCCGGCTGACCCGACTCATCGTTGGCATGGAAACGGATCAGCAGCTCCGGCCAGTTGCGTACAAACTCCAGTGGCTTCTGATTGGCCGTTAGCGGCATCTCTGCAACAAGAGTGACAAGGTGACATGTGTATGAGTTGTAAAATGATGACTCAGGACAACGTGTAAAGCTTGTACAGAGAGAAAGAGAATGATGTTCTGAAGGTGACATCACAGATCATGAATTAGCACAGTTCTAGAAAGTGAAATCAGCACCAACGATGGATGTAGAAGTGAGTACACTTTCAGCGCCAAAGCCCCCCCCCCCCCCTCTCTCTCTCTCTCTCTCTCCCCCTCTCCCCCTCTACACCTCTCATCTCAGCCTCGCGTGCATCAGCAATGCCATGTCGCCATCTTAAAAGCTCGCACTTTATTACACGAACGCCTACACACACACAAACACTCCACTCACACATGTCCACGACCAACAGCTTACCAAGATTTCTGGAAACCACCCAGATGGCAAAGAGCTTCTTGCAGGACTGTCCAATGCCGAGAATGGTGAAGAGGGCATCTAGCATATCGGCTGACGTTGAGTTGAACCCTTTCTCCAATGTGATGATCTAGAGGAACAATGGAGGAGAAACAAAGAGGGCATTGCCAGTGTGTGACGAGTATTCACTGTTCATCATGTTGCAGTTGGTTCTGTGTGTAGAAAACTCGCATGCAGCCAATTTCAAATTCTGAGCAGTGTTTTCACACCTGAGCTGTCCTAGTACAGAAGTGACATCATTAGAACTGTTTTCGTTTGTAAGAAACTAGATATCCGGGATTCCCCATGTAGCTATGCTGAGGAACCTCGTTGAGTCCGACAGCGACGTGATGCCGGTACACTATGCCCAGCACTGCAGTAACGGATGTGTGGTTTTAAGGGACCTCCCCAGATGCAAGCATTACTTGAATGGTGTGGCTTTGTTTGGGCTACACAGCACCACACCTAAGACAGTGAAATACTGTACTGTAGTAATCACATCTGCACATTAGAGTGGCCGCTGCTAGACGCAATCAGGAGAGTGCAGTGTGCTTGGAATGTCCATTCAATCTGGCCTCTTTCCTGCCGATTCTCGACAGCTGACCCATTACCGTGCACACTCTATGATACCAGGCCGGGTTCAGATATTCTAAATACAAGACGATGGTGGTGTCCGATAAGAATGATCCATTGCGCAATGACTAGCTCCGAAGAAGTACAGTAGAGCCTGTCAAGGTGACCACTCTGATAAGGAGACCACTCTGATAAGGTGATCACTCTGATAAGGCAACCACCTGTCTCAGAGGACCACTACAAATAGGACCACGGGATGTTATTTCCAGTCAACAAATGACTCTGGATACGGAGACCACCTGTACACAGCGACTACGTTTTGCAGGTCCCTTGAGCGGTCGCCTTAGACAGCTTTCACTGTACATGTACAGCTGTCATGTGCATACTAGTACCTTGTGCGTCCCATCCATCAGGTTGATACGCTGCTTCTTGATAGCCTGAAGAAAAATGCACACACATGGTGTTCACAATATTATACAGAACAGGTTTGAAATGCAGTCATTTATCCGAGCTGGACCAGCTATTTTCACCCCGGTCACAGTGGATTGAAAAGAAGCTGAATATCTTTATTAGGATGACCCAGAGGCGTGTCGCCTATCAAGGGGTTCACCGCTTTGAAGGATGTACATTACTCAAGCCAATGCGACTACGATTTTTTTTACGGCCCTCCTGGAAAACATGGAAAACGTGTCGAGAACAAAAAGAAAGAAGGGAAAGGACAAAACACAGGGGATTTAGGGAGACTGCCTCAGATAAGAGAGGTATGAGTGTGACAACAAGCTCTCCTCCTGTGTATGCAAACCAACAGAGGCGCATATCCGTGGCAACCGACCTGCTGAGCAATCTCGTCGTATCGCTGACCCTTGATCACGTCGGTGGCGTCGGCGGATGCCATAGCGGCTGCTGCTGCGGCACGGTACGCTTGTCCAAGGTCGGTCTAGGTCCGTGTGTGTGCATGGGGGTTACATTTCAAAGTGAGTAGGCAGACAACAACACAGGAATTCCAACAAATCTGTTAGGCACAGTATCATCGCACATGTAACCAGCTATTTAAACGTCAGCTATGCCAAGCACTCCCCCCTCCCCCTAAGTTAAACGTGGCGGATTGTGAATGATAAATGCACAGACCGTAAGCGTTAGTATGCGAAGGGAATACAGAAGGCGCGCCTTGGTTTGAGCATATTACATTACATCATCTTTCTATGGGTCATGCCGTGTTGAGTTACATTACAAGCACTTAGTTGACACTCCTTCCTACTCAATACAAAACATATGTGATGATGTCATATGCAAAAATGATGATGTCATTTGATAATACAATGATGTCATATGATAATACAATGATGTCATACGATAATACAATGATGTCATATGATAATACAGTCGACCTACCCTTATAACGATAACCTCTATAACGATATTACCCTTATAACGATATTTTTCTGCCAAACCAAATCACTCCATTGACTTTTGTATACAATGCCCTACCCTTATAACAATATCGCCATAACGATATTACCCCTATAACGATATAAAATGGGCTGATCAATCAACATTTTCCATTTTGTAACACTATCTAGCAGGGAAGATGTAGAGCCCACTATCCAGGTAGGGCAAGCTTCACTTGATAAGTCGCTGGGACATGACGAGGGGCACCAGTGAGCACCTTGCTGTGTACATAATGTGCATGTATGTCAGTTTTTTATGCTATGAAGAGTGTAAAAAATGAACAAAATCCATGCATTATGACATATGTGTATGAAATGAACCAGTTACCCCTATAACAATATTACCCTTATAACAATATTTCTTGGTCTGACGCAAATATCGTTATAAGGGTAGGTCGACTGCACAATGATGTGATTTGCACATGCGATGATGTTTATGCACATGTACAATGATGTAGTGTGCATAACCTCTAGAGTAACTTAGACATGTGCGTGACTGCACCGAGTTGAACCAGAGACACGTGCGTGACTGAACTGAGTTGAGCCAGCTTTCTATGCAATCAACGGATACATAGAGAAACAGTTAAACAAGTACCCATTATCTTACATGCTCTCCGCGTATAAGCATGGCCACTACTTCCCAGTCGTTCTGACGACGTTCCCGGCACAGGTCCAGAGCCGTGCGGCCCTCCTTGTCACGCGCCTGCGTGTCCACGCTTGAGGTGTTGATGAGGACGTGAGACACCTCGGCACGCCCGTTACTCGCAGCCAGGTGCAGGGCGGTTGCTCCGTTCTCGTTCCTGTACTCACCACATATAGAGCGTGAACACGAACATGACAAGGGGCAAGAAAGAAGGTAGGCGGAACATTGTGCACCTTACACGTGCACAAACACACATACACACACACACACACAAACACACACACACACACAACACACACATACAAACACATGCACAAACATACATGCATGTACAGTTTCACCTGCAGTCTAAGATGTGACAAAGCCAACGCTTTTAAGACTCTCATATAAAGCAAGTTTCTACGGATCTCACCAACACTACTGGTGTGTGCAAAACCCCTCAGACATGTTGCTTGCCATACAGAAAATTAATGGCGGCGTTCTCCGTGCAAGAATTGTTGCTAGCGGTACTCACGCTTTCATCGGCGACGCACTTCCCGTTTCGATGAGTGCCTTAGCCGCTGCCGTCTGTCCATTCCTGCATACACACACCGGGTGTCATGGCAATTGGGACAATCGTCAGACAAAATTGTGCTGAGGAGGGTATCAAGGAACATATTCTGGAGGGTGCTAGAAACTTTAACTGTGATAGCGGTACCGTAATGTCGCGTACTAAAGCCGGGCTTATTCCTGTGGAAGCCGATGTCAGGGCTAGGCTTATATTCACAAAAGGCTTCTATTCAAACCAGGTATTTCTATATGTGTCAACACCAAAACCAGGCTTATGTGCCGACAGAGTATCTTGAAAATCAGGCTTCTACTCAAAACAGGCTTCTACATGAGATAGGCTTTAATACAAGACACTGTGGTATACACATCGGGAGAGGTGTGACTGGTCTGCAACGACTCTGCTTTTTACTACCATATTTCCTCGGATATAAGTCGCACCTTTTGTCACTAAACTTCAATGGCAAAGAAGAGGGTGTGACTTACAATCAAGCATGACGTCCTACCTAATGTGAATATACTGAACCATTTTATGGCTCAAACCTGAAAACAGGGGCGCGACTTATCATCGAATGCGACGCATAATCGGGAAAATGGTAGTAGCTTACCAGCATGCGTAGTGTAGTGGTGTCCAAGTATCGCTATCCAGCTGATTGGCATCCTTGCCCTGTTGCAGCAGAGATAGAATGCTGGAGACGTGGCCATCGATGGCAGCACAGTGCAGCGGGAACTCATCCACCCAGTCCAGTGCCGTTCTGTTCAGAAACACAGCACACATACACACAGTACACAGCACACATACACACAGTACACAGCACACATACACACAGTACACAGCACACATACACACAGTACACAGCACACATACACACAGTACACAGCACACATACACACAGTACACAGCACACATACACACAGTACACAGCACACATACACACAGTACACAGTACACATACGCACAGTAGACATCAACGAAAAACCCTATGTATATCGCACGGTACCAGAACACAACACGGAGCAAATGGGTGGGTGGGTGGGTGGATGAATGGGTGGATGGATGGATGGATGGATGGATGGACGGGCGGACGGACGGACGGACGGACGGACGGACGGACGGACGGACGGACGGACGGACGGACGGACGGACGGACGGACGGACGGACGGACGGACGGACGGACGGACGGCTGGCTGGATGGATGGATGGGTGGACTGATGGATGGATGGATGGATGGATGGGTGGCTGGATGAATGTATGGTTAAATGGGTGGATGGATTGATGGGTGGACTGACAGACGTGTAAAGCTATGCAGAAGAAAGTGCATAGTAGAATTCTCCCCAAACGAGCTTCACGTCCCAAGCATCAGCACCGGCATCAGCAGAAGCAACAGTGGCAGTATATATGTAACTTACACTTCGGCTTCTTCTCCACCGTCTTCATCCAGGATGAGCTCCACACGGCTAGCACTGGTGTTGGCCAGCTCCTCTACGTCTACATGCCAATAGGGCTGTCCAGGCACACACACCTTGCTGTAGTCCGGCTCTCCTTTGCCATAGAACCTGTTCACCACCACATGCTCAACCTGCAGTACAGCCAGCACAGCATACATACAGTGACTTGAACACTTTAGTACAGAGTACACTGGATATAGTGTACTATGGATATTGTGTACTATGGATATAGCGTACTATGGATAAAAAAACATTGCATACTATGGGTATAGTGGACTATGGACATCCCCTTCAGAATTGTGTTACACTATTTTACCGGTTATAAGTCAACCCCGGTTATATCTCGACCCCGTATCTGGATGTCTTATTTCGTTTTTTTTATAAAGTTTTCACGCAACCAAGCAAGGCTGCCCAGGTTACCACTCCCTGCTACCGACACGTCAACGAATCATACAACACACTCCGAATTGGAGGGTGAAACGTCCAAATCCTGGAAAAAAGGCAACTAAACTGGCAACAATGCGACACACGGTACACTAGTGCATGCAGCGCAGGTCATTTTTGGAGGATACCGGTAGTTCCCGGTTATAAGTCGAATACCAGCTGTAAGTCGACCCCCATCTTTTCTCCTTCGATTCTTAATCGTAAGAGGTCGACTTATAACCGGTAAATTACAGTACCGTATTTTCCGGACTATGCTGCACCCATATTTTTGGTCACGAACTTCAGACATATACCATGCATTTCAATGCTCGTTTGACCATCGTAGTCTAAGCCGCCGGCTCAGGATGATTTGTGGGTGAGTTATGAGTGTTTAAAGTGTGGCTTACACTCCAGAAAATGACGTACCATCCTGGGTGTAAGACCTGGGGAACAGATCCACCCTCATGGGGAAATAGAGCTACCCTCCCCGGGGGGGGGGGGGGGGGAGTGCCTCCGTCCTGGGGAATGCAGTCGCCCACATACTACTAGTACTAAGCTCTGCAGTACAGTGAAACCTGTGTAAGACGACCGCTCAAGGGACCTTCAAAAATGTGGTCTCTGTTACCAGGTGGTCTCCTTATCCAGGGTCATTCGACTGGAAATAGCATCCCTTGGTCCTGGTTGCAGTGGTCTTCTAGGACAGGTGATCGCCTTGTCCGAGTGGTCGTCTTGACAGGTTTTACTGTGGTTGTAGGACACAAACCAGCACACACAGCACACACAGCACACACAGCACAGTGCACTAACCCGATCATGATACTGAACGCCATTACTGAGCAGAGGGTTGACAACGTGGATGTCGGCGACGTCTGTAGGAAACTGACGCACGTGATTAGCACGTTTCTTGTTGACGGCTTCCGCATCTGTGCACGTCAAACGCACAAACAAGGCACCCACATTCAGACGATAGCACTGCTGCAGCAGAAACTATAGCAACTTTTGCTGTGCACACACACACATCCATATACACACATATACACACTCCCCACCCCCACCCCACCACACACACCACATACACACACGCTCACACGCACACACGCACACACACGCACACGCACACACACACACACGCAACCCCCCCCCCCCCCACACACACACATACATACCCCCCCCCCCACACACACACACCTGGTACTTGGTACCTGGTAAACACTGCCATTACGGTCACGTGTCCCCTTGCGGGGCCGACAACATGGAAACGACGAGCGACGGCAGAAAGTCGGCAGTCTGCCAAGAAATCACTGATGGACCATGTTCAATCGGCACGACGAGAGAGCCATCTTCGGCAGCTATGGATTTGGAATCCACGAGTCGGAAACAATTCCTCTCACGGCTGCCGTCTGAACTGGTCCATCACTCTCCACAAGAGAGCGAACATTCCATGAGCCAATGCTCAGAGTCGTCTTCTGCCTTCTGCCCCCCCCCCCCCCACACACACACACGTACCATCATCATCCTGCTCCTCATGCTCCGTGTTCAGACTCGGCATGACTCTGTAATGAGGATTGCAGGCGGCACAGCGCAAACGTTGCTGTACGGACGGTTGCAAGAGCATCGCCAGTGCGTTGGGTAACATGTGCTGTTCTCGTAAGTATCTGCAATGAAAGAGAGGAAAACAATTTCTTACATTCAGTGTTTATCCTACCATGCATTCTCCGTGGACGCAGGTTTGGAGATGGACGTAAGCTTAAAAGCCCTTGCATGGTTGGGATCTGAGTTTTCTTAGGTCAAAATATGCCGGGAAGCTAATCAGATCCGCCTATCAGGAAATCATTAAAAAAACGCCAAGGAAATCACCTTACTCTAAACAGCTCTCTTTGGCCTGTTTGCACTTCTCACACCCCAGCAGCAGCACGTTACAATGCAGCCTCTCTATCCATGCCCCTTACTTATCCACAGCAGCCAACATGCTACTGTTCAACGTGTCAAACGGACTGTTCTCCTCGGCGTAGGATGCCTGTAGCACGGACTGATAGCACCCAAACACCGGCGTGTGATTGTTAGCAGGCAATGCGTCCATGAATGCAGACTCTGGAAATGGAGAACACACACAGACCAGTAAGAAAAGCATCAACAACAACGACAATGGCGACAATAACGATAAGTTGTTTTTTAAAGAGTAAATTATGGTGTCCGTTCCCAAAGGGAACTCACGACGGCTGCTAACACCAGGTAAACTCAGTGGCAGATGCTGTGCCTAACGGTAACGACACGATAACTATGACAGCAAACCGACAAACGGATGGCGATGACAAAACTGAAAGCAAGCGGCACGTGATTTCGGCTTCTTAATTATGGAATTTTTCAGGGGATAACCCAAGAGGGGAACCTCTGATGCCTGGCTGCACCGTCCTATAATACCTTCCGGCGTTTCTGATATTTTCACACGGACAGTGCATGACTGTGGCGCTGCCAGCAGAAGATTACAGGTATAGTGGACCGGTACGCATGTGGAGGTCAGAAAATTGAGTGCCCTGTAGACTAAAACTGGAAATGCTGTGAAAACCGGTGGCCACTGCAAATACGGGTTAGGAGGGGCGTAAAAGGAAGGTCGACATACTGCTATGGAACAAATTAACATGTGGTGGAGCATACAACTCCACAGCCATTGGAGAACGTGCGACAAATCTGACCTTCTTTCGTCGTGACAATCAGATAGAGCAGATTAGTCTGAACCTGGTGAGCGGGGGCACTGGAGCGATGACCCGTCCTCGCCATCCAGATGTCACGGCAGAATGTGCCCAGGAACACGGCTCGACGTGCTATACAGACACAGACAATCAGAGAGCAGGAACGTGAATGCAGCGATGGTCAGTTACCTATCGTTACTCATGCTCTCAGCACAGGCCACACGATGATGTCATTCCTTGAGTAATGCAGGGGAGGTGCCGGTATAAATTTGTGTATGAGAGGGGTGGGAGTGCATCAGCTTGGACCTACTGGCCAGAAACTCCACTTCCAAACGCTGTACAGTGCAGACCAGGCTAAACAGTGGTGGTCAATTCTTCAGACTTGCAATCTGCTGTTGAGTGGTGCAATCCCAGCACACGTTGCTATGGCTATTGTTGAGTGGTGCAATCCCAGCACACGTTGCTATGGCTACTGTTGAGTGGTGCAATCGCAGCACACGTTGCTATGGCTACTGTTGTAGTGTTGCTACTAACGTTATCGCCCCGTGATGGGACCTGAACGTCTAAAGTGTCTGCCTGTCTGAGGGGGGGGGGGGTTAATAAGTGACTGCAGAGGAATGAAATGATGACAAAACCAGCTAACCTAGCACTCACACACACATACCCCCCCCCCCCCCCACACACACACACCGACTGACCTTGCAGACCCGGCGGATTGGCGTGTTGTGGAAACGCCGACGCAGCAACTCCCTTTGTCCAATTGTACATTCCTTTCATGATACTAGCACCGCTATCCTCACCAAACTTCACAGCACCGAGAGGCAGGAACAATGAGGACTTTGACGGCTTGGCATTGCCGCTGGATCCCGGGCCTTCTTCTTGATCTGACTGTCCTCGAACTAGGACGATGTCATAATCCTGAACGGAGAAGAATGGTGGAGCAGGGGTTGGAGGAAGAGAGAATAGCGGCTACACAATACAAGTATGATATGGATCTATCTGCTGGAGCCTAGTCAAGCTTGACACAACCATGCTCAAAACGCACACTTGTTTTCGTGTACAGTAAAAGCTGTCAAGGAGACCACTCGGACAAGGTTACCACCTGTCCTAGAAGACCACTGCAACCAGGATTAAGGCATGCTATTTCCAGTCAAATGACGCTGGATACGGAGACCACCTGGTAACAGAGACCACATTTTAAATGTCTCTTGACAGGTTTCACTGAAATTCCGAACACGTAGCTTTATGGTAGATCATGTAAAGTGCTGCTCGATGAAATCCCCCTCCCCCCGTGTGAGTCGAGTATGCGCCGGGTACTGTGCAGCGCTAGATCTGCACACACTGGGATGTGTGAACTGGTGCAGGGCGCAACGCTGACTCACTCGATCAGATTTCATTGAGCAGCACCGCATACTGCAGTGATCGACTGCATACACATGTAAGAAGTTACTGAGCTTCCCAGTATCAAAATCAAACTCTCCCTCTCTTTGCCAGACTCGCATTTTTTTCTTTCCTGTCTCTCTCCTCCTCCTCCCCCTTGTCCGCATGCTCTATCCCTCAGTCTCTATCTGGCTGCCTATCTCGGCAAAAGCTGGATATACATGTGTGGTCCGGCTTTCTTCCGTTGCATTGTCTGTCTGTCTGTCTGTCTGTCTGTCTGTCTGTCTGTCTGTCTGTCTGTCTGTCTGTCTGTCTGTCTGTCTGTCTTTCTGTCTTTCTGTCTTTCTGTCTGTCTGTCTGTCTGTCTGTCTGTCTGTCTGTCTGTCTGTCTGTCTGTCTGTCTGTCTGTCTGTCTGTCTGTCTGCCTGCTTTCCTGCCTGCCTGTATATTTCTGTCACGAGTCTCCCGGTTAACATACACATCACCACATCTCATAGGTACCACAGTATCACATTACCTTCGCCAAGTACTTGCTGGTGCTGGCTAGCCGTGTGTTTGGTTCCTTCCGGCGGACGATGGCGGCCACTGCATTCAACGGTGGGTGCTCCATGGCAGCTCAGTCACAGGATCACGCTCACAGTGTTCACTGACAGCGGCGCCGCGTCAGATTATACACTTGAGGCGTGAATGCCGCTGGTCGCACTGTTTACCTGGTAACTGACCTGCTCCGTGTGTGTGCTGTCTGTATCACCTGTGAAAGGTATTATACAACAAGCCATTCAACAAACAAAATTGCATGCGAGCATGGTAAACTTGAATTCGGTGTGCTGCAAAAAGCATCAAAATGGTAACCAATGACTGTTCAAGTTTTTCTAATCAATTCCCCATTTTCAACTCCCTCGACTGTTTTATGATCATTATGGTTAGTAATTCATTACATCAGACCGCATCCAGTCAATGCTTGGACAATCGACCTTATGCCATTTTTACAGATCCACGAAATCCCGTAGAATCCCGTAGACCCGGTAGGGTGTTCATTGTGTGCTATGCATGCGCATTTGACCGTTTTAGCGTCATAATTCAATGACCAGCAATCGCTTTTCCAGCTTCTTCACTTTGGTTAGAACTAATGACTAGCTAGATCTTTGTCAGAAAAAGGTTTCGTATGAAATGCCTTCAGGCCCCATTTCTTAGTGGAAATAGCAGAAAACACAGTAGGGTCCTGCACATTCAACACCCTACCGGGTCTACGGGATTCTGCGGGATTTCGTGGATCTGTACAAATGGCATAAGGTCCATTGCCCGACCCTGCGTGGCCGAGGCATGCAACCTGCATGGGACAGTCTCAGGATATGATCGGTATCAGCAAGAGTACATAACCCCCCAGAGTGTGCAACGCCTGATCCAGCTCTGCATAGGGTCTTGGTCGAGCGTAATCGGTTCTCTGCGCCATAATACCGTACACATCTGAGGGGAACCCGGGGAGTCGCGGGGACTCTCGGATCACAAATAACGGTGCCCTACCACGAGAGACTACGCTCGACCAAGACCCTATGCAGAGCTGGATCAGGCGTTGCACACTCTGGGGGGTTATGTACTTTTGGTATCCGTAGTAACTGCTACACAATGGATAACAACCTCTGAAAGAACTCTTGCAAGTATCCATACACCTACATTGCGGAAGTGGAGGGGCATGATGGCATGTATCCATACCAACCATGGAGAGGTGCATATGGAGGCACATGGCACTCATGCACATCTTTGATTGGGAAGTCACTGGGATGGGGGGGGGGGGGGGGGGGAGGCAGGGCAGGGCATATCCAGGACGCATTCTCTATTCATAGCCTGGGGGCTTTCCGATTGCTCATGCAGACGTGGGAATAATAATTATTTGATTGATTGGCATCGTCGCTTTAGCACATAGTACATAGGGTGCTCAGCCAACTTCCAACTGTGATATACTTCGGAATTTCCCAAACGCCTGAGCCTATCTGGGGAATCTCATAATGATTTGGACTAGTATTACTATTAGCAGCGTGACTGGAACACCCACTGCACTGCACTGTACTTCGCCTATGGCACCATTGACCTACCGCTACTAGTAGGGCCTCCAACGGCCCAGCTTCCGCAGCTAGAATCACCGCAGTACCCGCTACACACAGCTCGTGTGCAGGACGCTGCAAGTGCAGGTTGAGTTTAGCGGGATGATCCACGGTCCGGACCGTCGATGTCGACGATGTGCAAGGCAGCACCCTTCCAGGCAATGGGTCGTTCCTAGTCGCTACAGCTCTCGTAACGATATCGTGGGCAGGGATTCGAAGCCAGCGCACTGTGCTTCTCTCGACTGTCGACTGTCCCGCTGTCCGAAGAGAAGATGAACCGACCACTACTACTTCAAACACAAGAAACTGTTACTTCTTCGATGCAGTTACTACAGTACCCTCTGCCTGCTCCGAATGCAAATCAAACTGGGCCACAGCCCTCCAGCTTCAGCTGCTAGACTTCCGAAGTAATAGTTCTGTATGACTGGTCAGAATGGAAAATGCAAATCGTTCCTCACGCCACACAGCTAGCTAGCTTCTACTGACGTGCTGCGGCGCTACAACTATTAGTATTACTTACAAGCCTACATACAAAGGCTTTGAAAGGGACATAGGCCATAGGAGGGACGCCTATCCAGTAGATCTACACATGGTACACATGGTACATGTGGTAGGAGATTTTCCAGGTGACCTCCCCTCAACTCCGGACTCCCCAGAAACACGCCACCAAGCTTCCTACTGCGCCGTTATTTTACTACTCCTGTTGCAAGCATACAGTATGCATTACGTCAACACCACGTCACTCAAGAAATTTGGATTTTTGAAAAAATACTACAAAAAGTTAGTTAGTTGGCTTCCTGGCCGGCTGTGCATGTGCACATGTGGCCTGATCATCAGGCTCATCAGCTGAAGGTTGAAACAGAGAAAGTCGTCATTTCCTTGTTCGTCAATTGACCTTACCTGGGTGCTTGACTAACTTGTACTCAGGATAGTGTGGTGTATTGCTCGTCTAAGCTCTGCCGACACTACCCCACGGATAAGATGGCAATGGCAGCACGCGCAACAGGACGCCTCCAGCAGTCCGGCTGCATGTTCTTCCTGTGCGACATGCAGGAAAAGTTCAAGCCCAGCATTCGCTACTTTGACGAGATCACCACGGTTTCGCAGAGACTGGTACGTCACGCAGGCAGGCATTCGCCATTGCATTCACGTGTACAGTGAACTTCAGTATAACGTTCAGTGGATATGCTTTACTGTAGAGTCGGATACAACGTACTGATTTGAGGCTGCATAGACTAGACGTAATTTAAAAAAACACGTTTTCAGTCTTTTTTTGGATAAAGTATAATTTGTACAACACCTGCTGGTGACCGGAAATACCTGCAGAGCCATAGAGTACTGTTGGGTACCGAAAAACGTAGCGCCGAAGAGCGAGCAGGCTAGAATTTCACCAAGCACAGCATACCAATGTATACATGGTGACTCAACTATGCATAGACTGTGGTACATGAAAATAAGAACGGCCTAGGCTACGAGGCTGACCCCCAGTTCTCCGGTGACGGACAATACTGTATGATTGACAGTTAGTGTACATATTAACACACACCTGGGTAGATGGTCTGGGTGTCCCAGGGGTATGGGGTTCCAGGGGTGGGGTATGGGGTCCGGTCTGGGTGTCCCAGGTATGGGGTCCGTCTGGGTGTCCCAGGGGTTACACGGAGGATTTGGGTCTGGGTGTCCTAAGGGGCTAGAACATGCGGTTTGGGTCTAGAATCTTATCGCCTTTAAGGCCCAAGATCGTTGAGGAATCTCCTCTAGCTCTCATTCTCCAACCCTACTGAGGCTGGCATGCTTACTCGCCATTACTGACAATACAGTACACCACATGGGAAAACTGAACATGCAAGAATATGTGTGTGCTTTGTCGGCTTGCTGAGCGCCCATGGCTACGGGAAATAAATCTCACCTTCATTCTTGTGCCTCGTATTGCTGTAGTTCAATGTTCATTGTTGATTGTTCATTGTCTGTTGTCCATTATTGCCCATTCTTGTTGTTTTCGTGCTTGTTGTTTGCTGTCTCACTGCGGTGCAGACATCCGCAGCCGCTGCTCTGGAGATTCCACTCATTGTTACTGAACAGGTAAGATAGCTGTGATGCTTAAACTGCTGGGTTTCATTTTGACAGAAACTGAAGAGAGTACGTGCATGCAGTGTATATCACACAGCTGTTAGTACGACGAACTCAAGGTTGAACCTTTCTTTGGGCCTGCTTCTATTCGTGTTGAGCAGTTTCACTGATGCTTCGCGTTTAGTCTTCTCCTGTCCACTCCTCCATCACAGAGGCCTTAGAGATTGTATCTATGTGTGTCTGCCTGACCATTTGTCTTCTTCTTTGCCCGCACACCTGTGTGTGTGTGTGTATGTGTGTGTGTGTGTGTGTGTGTGTGTGTGTGTGTGTGTGTGTGTGTGTGTGTGTGTGTGTGTGTGTGTGTGTGTCTCTCTCTCTCTCTCTCTCTCTCTCTCTTTCTCTCCTGATTCACTCAATACACATGACGCACTGCTGCCTCCTATGGTCATTGCCCGCTGTGATGCACAGTATCCAAAAGGTGAGAGAGACACTGCATGCTGGGAAGTTCATCAGAACATTTCAGCACTGCCTTCACGAGCACACTGCAGGGACACTTGGTTCAATGATCTGTACATACATGAACGACGTCCAGAGTTGACTGCCCGTGTAGGGATGGTTTTCAATTGTCATTGTGCCCTGGTATGGATGTCCCCAATTCCTCTTAAGAGGTATTCAATAGTCATGTGACAGTGCCTAGACAGTAGCAGTACACGTTTCACTTGTGTAAGGATCTTGCCAGCAATACGTCTCGCGAAGTATAGATGATCAAGCTAGCTTTCCCTTCCATATTATGGGTGAAATGGATCCTGTCACATGGCCATCGAGTACCGTCTATACACTATTCCCTCGTTTCCGTGTTCACCCCGGTGGGGTATTGTTTCTAGGTCTTGGCCGTACCGTAGTGGACATTGACATCTCCAAAGCGGCCGTGCGCGCCGAGAAGACAAAGTTCTCCATGGTCGTGCCCGAGGTCACCGAGTTCCTGCAAACGAGAGCCGAGAGGAAGACGGTCGTTCTCTTTGGAATTGAGGTCAGTGCGAAGAGCAACTGGAGGAAATTCCGACGGTAAACAATGGAGATGTTGACTGCTTCGGACTTTTAAATTTGAAGTCGAAGGGCAGGAATAATTGCACAACCTAAACATGGGCACTGTAAAACAACCATCTGACAATCTATATAATTATCTACGGGGACAGCAATAGCTCGTCTGAACTCAAAGGCCAGGTATGGCCCAAACTGACATTGTCTGTCTCCCGCCGCTCTATTGTGGACCGGGAGGGGGGGGGGAGGGGGGTAGTACCCGTAACCTTACCTCCTGTGCTGACCGTAGCTACATCCTAGAGGAGATGGTTGCCAGAGAAAGTTGTTTTAAGAAGTGTTTACTGCTGCTCGCCACTGCACAACTTTACATCGGTGAGTATTCCACCAAAGCATCTCCTCCCTAGGAATACTGAGTATACCTTATATGCTACTAAAATTGTAAGGGAAAGTCCCATATTCACATACGATGTCGCCTGCAGCTAGAGATAGGTAAACCGGTGCCTAAATTTAAAACTGTCTGAGTTCCATGCACTTCCGTGCTATCAGCAAACAACACTGACTTGTAATGATCTGCTGTCTGCAAGGTACAGCTCTAAGTTAGGCTGGAGGTGAGAAAGGTGATAAATCGGACTCAAGATTTACAAAACTGTACTGTCACCAGCCGGGGTGATACATTTCTGCCATCACCAGCGGGCCTTCTGCAATGCACAATGCATTGGTGCACTGACAGGGAGTGTCAGCACAGGATAACACAACACAGAACAGTCCAGGGGACAGCATACACTACTGTACACTGAGCTGTGTGCTGAGAGCATGTGACTCCACTCACACCGTGCCAGCACCAGAAAGACCCAGAGTGTGTGTACAGTGTCACGTGATGGGCTAGCGTTGCTTGCGCCATGTAGAGGCTGTGGAAAGGTGCCATGTGGAGGTGGTGGAAGAGCTGGATTCATACCTGTGGGGCGTAGGTGTGAGGGAGATACCAATACGTGCATGGGCTGTACTACAGCCTTACAGGTAGTGGTGTTAGGTGTGAGAGTGAAATGCCAATACATGCACTTGTATGAAAGTATCACAAAAAATCCAGGTAAAGCCTTTTTTCAAAGTTTTTTGTCTGCCTCTCTATGATCAATGTGCTCGAGGACGTTCACGACTTCTTCGTCTGTTGTGTTTTGATTCTGGAGAAATGTTTCCAGGTTTGTCATCGAGCTCCTACTCCTGTTTTGATCCAATTGCGTCCTTGAGACCCTCCGTTCTGCTTGAATAAAGAAGTTGGATGACAAACTAACTAACACTTGGTTACTTTCTCAAAGCTTTCAACACTACAAACTGACAACATACGGTAACAGCGTTCTTTCTTTTGTTCTCCTAGCCTAGCTTCTAGCTAGTTCGGCGTCATGTTCGCATCCAGTGCGCATGTGCAGGCCAATGTGCGCGCGCGCAGTGTTGCCATCGCGCGTATCGTTGCAAGCTAGCTAAGCTAGCTACTAACTAAGTACTAGCAAGAGTACATAACCAAGAGTGTGCAACTCGAGATCCCCCAGCCCATGGCGGAATTTTTTTTATGACATCAGTCTTTGGCGGCTGTTTGGCTTGCTGATGCCATCATGCGTAGCCAGAGATCAAAGTACAAAGAATGTGTACACCACAGCTACGTAATTATAATATATCGCGGCGGTATACGTGTGTGTGTGTGTGTGTGTGTGTGTGTTGGGAAGGGGGGTCTGTTTGTGTGTGTGTGTGTGTGTCTAAGAAGAGGGTCACTGGAGGGTTTTTGACGGGATCGAGTTCGTCATTGTTATCGTCACCAAATACCGGTAATTTGTGTGTGTGTGTGTGTGTGTGTGTGTGTGTCTGTCTGTCTGTGTTCTTGTTGGATTGTCCGTGTGATCATTCATGGCAGGCTCACGTATGCGTGACGCAAACAGCACTGGACCTGACTGATATGGGCTACACAGTACACGTGGTGGCTGACGCTGCTTCATCTCGCTCCAACACCGATCGCATGATGGCGTTTGATGTAAGAACCAGAGCTGCTGGCTCGACACTGAATGTTGGGCTTTCATTTCTTTTGTACATAGTAAACCGGCCATTTTGTAAGAGTCGGTTCCATGATTCTGTGATAACCCTTTTCGTATGCATTTCAAATTTTCAATGTTGTAACTTAGGAAGATGTGTTCATACTTGCAGTGTAAGAATTCAGCCTACAACTATTGTAGACGCTTCTGTTGGTCGTTTGGTTTGCGTAGATTTCAAACTCCTACAGAATCTAGGCCTGTTGATTGCGTAAGCATGAAACTCAGAGTAGCAACAAACAATCCTTGATTACCCTTGTTGTACTGTGTATTACGCTCTGCCTCCGCAGTGGTGTTGAGCACTATCCATATCAACACACTGGCTGCATCCTCCGGTGAATCCAGAAAGATAAAACTAAAAAAGCTGCGAAGATGGCTGATTTTACAGCAAACTGTGTGCAATGTACAGTGTAGAGGTGATTAAAGTGACTGAACTCGGACAGTTTAGAGACACTTAATTCCTCGTCTCTCTTTTCTTTCCGTTTGTGCTGCACAGAGGCTGAGGCAGAGCGGTGTGTTTGTCACGACCAGCGAGGCAGTTCTGTTCGAGCTGCTGGGCGACTCCAAGGCGCCACACTTCAAGGAGGTGCAGGGCTTGATCAAGGTGTCGGCTCCGGACACCGGCCTCCCGGGAAGTAAGATGTAATCGTGAACGTCACACGGAGCAGCGTTGCAGTGCATCACCATCACAGTCATGGCTGTGGCTTGGACTGGCATACCACAGTACAGTGATGAATAGCATGGCAAAGCCCAGTGGATGACTGGTATGCTGGTATGCTGTTCCAGTCCGGAGATGTACGGTGCTACTAGCGCTGTACTAGTATCAGTGGCTTCTATTGTTTTTGGTTCATTCGCTTAGCGCAGCACTGTACAATCCTTCTTTAACGATTGCCCGTGTGTTGGATAGCGTAGGCTGTGTGCGTGTGTGTGTGTGGGGGGGGGGGGGGTATGTGTGAGTGTGCACTGCTGCACCTACGCTTGCAAGCTCCTTGTTCATGCTCAGAGAATACTCTCAGAATGCCCTGTGACCGGCATAACTTGCCAACACACTGACTGGCTGCATGGCAATGCTGTGCTTGCCTGTGCCTCGCTCCCCTGCACACACTTTTAAGGTGTTGTGATCTTTCCTGCATACCACCATGATATGCTTAGTCATTGTCAAGTACAGTGTACACAAGAGCTGGTCTCATCTCCCCCCTCGCCCATAGCTCAGCAGCTAATTGTTGATGTCAAGATTTCCTTTTTTTACGTAATTCTTTTATTTTTTTAAATGCTTTCGTCGCCGCTACGCCCACATTTAAAAATGCAGTTGAACGGTCATGACTCAAGTCATGGGCAGCACGATGTCTTCTTCACCATGCTGTGCATGTGGTTTGCGTCAAGAGTACATAACCCCCCAGAGTGTGCAACGCCAATCCAGCTCTGCATAGGGTCTTGGTCGAGCGGAATCGGATCTTCTGATGTCATGCGTACACTCCACACCAGTGCAAGGCCGGTCTCGAGGCAGGGCACCATTGTTTTTGATCCAAGAGTACCCGTGACTCCCCGGGTTCCCCTCAGATTTGTACGGTATTATGACGCAAAGATCCGATTCCGCTCGACCAAGACCCTATGCAGAGCTGGATCAGGCGTTGCACACTCAGGGGGGTTATGTACTCTTGTTTGCGTAGTATACCAGGGAGTCGTAAAATGCCGACTCCCTGGTGTGTACGCACGGGGAATGGCTCGAGATCACTCCGCTACACCAAGAATGTGCAGCTTGCGAACCCTCGCCAGGCCCCCCGCAGTGGGATTGGTTCTACATCATTGTACAGTCTTTTGTGGCCGTTGGCTCCCTGATGCCACCATGCACAGCCAGAGAGATTAAAAGTGCAAAAAAATTGCACATCACAACACCAACCGCTATCGTAGCAACAACGCTGACATCTGCATCAGCAACTGCAAGACCAGCAGCAGAGACAACACCACAAGAAGACCGTTCTTTCTGGAACATTGAAACAACACAACGAGAACTCAGAAGCACAACCCTATGGCATCTGCAATGAATAAAAAATGGAGGTTGCTGTTCCTTACAGCGGCAAACAGGGAGGTCAGAAAAACCGGTTTTCAGGGCTCCGTGATAAGGGCAGGACACGACAGTACCTTTCAACTAACAAGTGAAGAGCAGCCAGCTGCAGATCATTGCTGAAAACAAACTTTAACACAATGGGATAATTGAATAGAGCTTGATTGGCGTATAAAATCCAACTCCTGCAACCCTTGCATAGCGTTACTCCCAGTGCAAGCTGTGATGCAGGGGTTGGATTCTCATCTGGCAAAAAAAGTACAATGGCTTGACTAGCCTCAATCAACACCATGATGGCCTGCACATGTGCGTGTGTGGGGGGGGGGGGGGGGGGCGGCTTTGTCGTCCCAGGATGCCAGGTCAGTATATCTAGCTTTTCTTCGTGTCGTAGCGCACGGGCGCTGCGGATATCTGCGGGGTCCGTGTCACGGGAGCAGCAGCTGCCGCCGTTGGTGTTTGCACGTGCACAGGCTGGGGAGCGCTGGAGGAGGAGGAGGACGCTAAGTGTGGTGGCGGAGCAGCGGTCACGACCGGTGACATAGATACACCGGCTGGCATTGCTGAAGATTGTGATGATGACGGTAACCCATGCGATGGTGGTACAGTGTGTGCTGGTGGGTGCTGCCATGGCGGCGGGTGATTACCAGGTGCCGGCACAGACGCTGCCCAGGCGGGCGATGCCGACGTAGCAGAGAACGTGTGCTGTGCCAACGACGACGGTGGCGGAAACGAAGACTGCTGCCCGGAGAGATTGGTGGTCGCCGACGACGACGGTGGAGCAAGAGGTGGTGGAGCACCGAGAGATGGCCCCCGCGGTGGCTGACCAGGAGGAAAGGACAGTGGCGGGACGGCGCCGGATGCAGCAGGGGGTCTACTCAGCGAGTGTTGCTGCTGGTGGTGGTGCTGGTGATGTGGCGGCGGCACGGTCTGGTTTGCTTGAGGATAGCGAGGCGGCGGTGCTGCCAGCTGCATGCGTGCAGACCCCACAGGTGGAGGCATGGACGGTGACATGGCTGGAGGTGCCGGGAAGCGAGGCAGTGCCTGCTGCGGTGGTGCTCTCGGCGGTGGAGCGTGTCGCTCAGCACCACTGGGGACGTGCGGCCGACTCGCGTGGTCATGGTGCACCTCCCCATCGGCATGCATCGTGACGGCAGCAGGATGACTCTGCTGTTGCCATGGTACCGACGATACAGATCGCTCGGCACGCACACCATCATCAACCCGGGGGGACATCATCACTGAGCCCCCCATAGCGTCCGCGTGAGCAACTCTTGCAGCCATTGCATGACTTCTGGGATGTGATTCGCTGCTGCTACGATCGTTTTCCCCGTAGCCGGAATACGCGGCGCTGATGGGGAATTCGGGAGCACCGGTGTTGTCGGAGGATGCAAGTTGCTCTTGCTCACCGCCCTCCTGCAGCTGCTGCTGCTGACGAAGCATACGCTGCTTGAAGGCAGACGCCCGCCGCCGACGTTCTGCTTGAATATCCGACGACGCAGCCGCCGCAGAATCTTCACCAGGCCCTGAACGCACACGCACGCACACACACACAGCAGCAGCAGCAGCAGAAAGAAGGATAACTATATTAACTGGTTCAAGAAGGTTTATGCGTGCACCTATAGTACTGTCAGGCGCCGAAGAACTGGGTGTCAGCCTCCTAGCCTAGACCCTTCTTGTTTCCATGTATTACAGCCTATGGGCAGTTGAGTCACCGTGTGTACATTGGTATGCTGTGCTTGATGAAATTCTAGCCTGGTCGTTCTTCGGCTCTCCGTTCTTCGGCACCCGACGGTACTGTAGATTAGTGTTATTATTCCGGGTCCCTGATGAGTCCGCAAGGGCGACCATTACGAGATCAAGTAGTTAAAAGAGAAGACACACAATTGTGAGAACGAGTTATGCAGCAACTATCCATGACTGTAACAAGATGATAAACAGTCAGAAAGTGTGATAATAGGGCACGGCACTGACAGGCTACTGGGACATTCAGCCAACTGGTTCTCATGTGTTTCTTCTCTTTTTTACATTTATTACTGGCTCAGTATCCGAGTATAAATTAGGAGATCAAGCAGTTAAAAAATGGCAGTGATTGTATTGTGATAAGACAGGATAGGACATAGAGAGGTCGGACAGAGAGATCGGACAGACGGACGGACGGCCAATTCAACTAAAGCTTGATTATCCAGATGATGACGTACCAGCACGGGACCAGTCAAGGGATTCATAAAATACAACAATAGATAGCGAGATGGGCCACAGTACAGGAAGACATAGAAGCGTCCAAACGCTAAATCTATCAGTATCTGTCATGCTCCTGTTGTGTGGTCCGGTTATCTATCTTTGTAGACAGACAGACAGACAGACAGACAGACGGACGGGCACGCAGAGAGTGGAATATGAACTGACAGTGCCAGGTGAAGTGGACTGACAAACAGACGGACTGACAAACAGATGGACTGACAAACAGACGGACTGACAAACAGACGGACTGACAAACAGACGGACTGACAAACAGACGGACTGACAAACAGACGAACTGACAAACAGACGGACTGACAAACAGACGGACTGACAAACAGACGGACTGACAAACAGACGGACTGACAAACAGACACAAAGGACACTAGTACGTGTAAGTGTGCGCGTGCAAGTGAGAAAGAGGGTCAGAGCGAATGAACCAGCCCAAACCCCAATTGAGGAGACAGACAGACATACACATTCACATACCTGTGCCATCTTCTTCCACCATGGGTGTGTGCTGGTGACCTGGTTGGCCGGCTGGTGGTAACCATGACGATGAGGAATTCAACATGACACCGGATGGCCGTGCTTCAGCATTAGAACCTGTTGCAGCAACACTGCCGTGATAGCTTGGGTAAGCACCTGTGCAGCGGATACACCAGACACAGAGCATACACACACAGGCACACATTCGTTTGTGCTGGGATTACACCATTCAACAGCTTGCAAGGCTGATGAATTGACCGCCACTAATTTTAGCCTGGTATCCACCACACCGCTGATTGAAGTGGCTTTTTCTGGCCAGTGAATCCCTATTTTTCATTTTTTCCATTTTTTCATTCCTTTTTTTACACACACACGCCACACCACATACTCCGGCATACACTGGCTGTTGGTAACCACCCAGGAGAATGAAGGAAGAGCTAGGAGAATGAGAAAGAGAAGAAAGACGTGTGCGA